GCCACACCATCTTGCTCTCATATCTTCGATCAAACCTAAGTGAAATTCAGTGGCATATAGTCGCATAAATTTTGTCTTCCAAGTAGCTAGTATATACTTTACTTATGCAGAATAAACATTTATTGAATGATCAACTGGTTAGCTTTTCTTATTTATCTCTCGTAGCAAGAGCAGATTTGGCATCAAGCATAGAAAAAATAGTGATAGTTTAGTCCACTTATGAAGAAGATACAATGGGCATGCAAATATATCATAGATAGTAGGTAGTAGGAAGGCAGCAATATAAAATTGACCTGCACATCTGACAAAAGTATTGAGAGAATTACACGAGGTTAAAAACTGCATCCAGCAGCTTGTCCGAGAGTGTGCATTCAGAGCGTACGAAGGGTGCAGACAATGCCTTGGGCAAATGGATAGGTCACACAGAGAGAGAGGCTATTGCTGTAGATAAAATGTCAATAAAGCCCCATTGGAGGAAAGAAATTAAATATGGCAAAATAGGAAGTGTTCTCCACACAGACAAATGAGGAAAAAATGGAAGTGGTCAGTTGGATAGAAAAAGGTAATTTAGTGGAGGATAAAATGCTGAACACAGTCAAAAAGAAAAGATCACATAAACCACTCAGACATGCCAAAGAGACATTAAGTGCACAAAACAACAGACTGCAGACAAGGAATAATATGCAGACTGCATAAATCGGTTTATGAGATGTCTCGAAACTATGCTTATAAACGAAAAATATATGAACTGTGCAATAGTATCACTAATTGAAGAAGTCATTTTGCACATCGGAGTTGCAATTTCTACAAATCAAATTCCTAGATCCTTTTAACTCCAACTTTTTGACGGGTATGAACTGCTATCTTTTCTTATGCTCATGCACTACATAAACACAACTCATTGCTCTGGTGAGTTCAAATTAGCGATAAGTCTATCTAATGTATGTACAATCGTGACCCATGCATTTTTGGATAGCTAGACGACGCTTGAATGTTGATGATAAATGGAAGCATTCATAAGACCTACAAAATCCTTGGTTCAATTTCTTTACTGTCTTATAGAGAAGACAATTTTCTTTTCAGCTCTATTTTTCGCCCAATAATAAGCATTCAAAAGTAGATGAGTAAAGGTATTATGCTACCTAGGACCTTCTTTAAACTTTAATAATATAGGAAGATTGTGATCTATCCCCTAGAGGTATGGTAAGGTGAATTAAAGCTATGACAAATGGTGTGCATGAATCGGGACGATGGACAATACTATGCGGTAGTAATATAGGTGCAGTTTATATGTATAGCAATGAAATGATAACAGGCGGAGGCTCCTCTTGTTGCATAATCCGTTTATTACGAAATTTAATCCTTATATATATATATATTTGTGTCTATGTTAAGCATGAAAAAGGGATGGCAAAAGCATAGGGAAAATTATATAACGTCCATACATATTCAAGAGATACTTGACGAAATTGTCAAAGCTATGTGAAACGCAGATCTATTAGCCCAGCAATGCGAACCGATAGTGGAAGAGTATTACATGAAAAGTAGGGAAAACACTAAAGAGATGAAACATCTATGAAATTAGTGTTGAAAATTGTCCATGGTAATGGTCAGAAGTTGTTCCAAGAGTCACCTGTCGATGTGAGATGAATGACTGGCAGGCTACAAGGGTTGTGTGAAGATGAAATTGGCACATAGTCAGTAGGTTTATCCACTGAATAAGGAAAATATGGGGACGCTAGATTTAAAAAAATGATGTCTACAAGGTGAAAAAAACCAGTATATTAAGGTGGAGGCTCTTAATGGAAGATCTATGTCTCGGAAGTGTGTAAGTATTAGGTAGCACTGTAGAGCTTGGTGTAAAAAAAAATTTATGGGAAATTGTAAAATGGTTTAGAAAATGGTGGAAAGAAACGAAGAAATGAGAGGAACGAAATTGCAAGGATGAGGAAGTTAAGAGAAAGCTTTTGACAATTTTAGCAAACTCCTCGCCGAATGCAATTATTATATGATCCATTCCATCAAAATAATGTGCCGGATCCAATATCCATTTTAGCCTCAAAACGAAAAATAAACAATGCTGACTGGAAATAACACCTAAACAGTGAATAGCCAAGAAATTAAGCGTAACTTTTAATAGCGTAAGGGCATGCTTTAGGGAAAATGTGGTTTGGATATGGTGAAATATAGGAATTAAAAAATAAACCTATCACTGGGGAGATTGGGTCTCACCTGATCGCAGGCAGAGGTCTATGGAAGATGGGCGCTTCAAAATTGGACGTGGTGGAAAAATTTGGTTGGGTTCTGTGTCTTTTATACTATGATCCTCACACGGAGAGGCGGAAGAAGAGGGCTCACAGTCGTCGTTAGCGTCAGGAACAGAGCAGACATTATTTTCACTAGATGATATTGCAGCGGAGATATTTGATCCATTTGTATCTATTTCCGGAGGACATGGATTGTCAAAGATATTAGGCACCATTGAGGCAGACAATGCCGAGTCTGTAGGCTTGCTTAAGACGGAAGCTTCTTCTACGGGTGTATCTGACAGGGTTAGACGGCCATATTTTGCAGTTTCAATATCGACGACGTTAAGTAGGTCGACGATGTGATTGGAAATGAGACGAAGATGACCAAAGAAACCGCAACGTCGCTGTCCAGTCTGCCTGAGAAGAAGGAAAATAAGAAGGCCCGATATGGAAATCATTGTAATTGGAGAAAAGCAATGGCTATAACAGAATTATGGATGATGACCATCAATGATTTTCTAAGTTTATCTGATGAACTCTAAGCTAAAAGGCTCAGGGATCGAACTCAGGATCCTGGCCTTAATGAAAGATAAAATTGCATTTACTGTGAACAATCATTTGTTAATGTGAGAGACCAGTTAACAGCTATAAAGTTGGATGGCAAGCTAAATAAAAAGCCAATTGTAAATAAGGCA